TTCTTGTGTACGAGACCATATGCCTCCGTGCTGTCTCTGCAGCCTAATAATACCCAGACCCACCCTGGTCAGGCTCAGCGGGAGACATGTCCACTGGCGTGTGTGTGTTGGGGGGAGAGATTGGAGCAAAGCTCTCCTGGTCCTTAGGTCGTCTGAGGAGAGCCTGCTCAGATGCCCAGGAACGGGGTGGGTAGTGGGAGGTGGGTCATGCCCTTGGAGAAAGGCCAGTGTAACCATGTGAATGTGCCACTGTGCGTGTGTGTGTGTGTGTGTGTGTGTGTGACATCAGGAGCCCGTGACTAGGTGATGCTGGGTTCATTGCATAGCAATGTGGGGGCATATGCATAGCTGAGGTTTTACTGCACAAGAAGGACTACGGCAGGAATGGATAGATCTAATTGCTGTGTGTGTTTGTATATATACACGCATATGTATGTGTGGGGGTGTGTGTTTAAAAAATAAGATCACACATACATACAAACACACAGCCTAACTTTAATTATCTGAAAGGAGCAGGAAGAGATCTGGGAGGAGCTGGGACAATGATGGACAGGAATGTGTTTGGAAAGCAGTTTAGGGGCAAGTACTTGGAAATCCTGAGAGAAAGGGGACCAGGTCAAATGTTGCAAAGGATGGCTGTGTGTGCTTAATCAAATATTACATGTGCCAGGTACTCAGTGACTCTCAAGAGCTCAGTGCCAAAGACCAGAAAGCTGGTCTTAGACCGCCCAAACTGTGGTGTGGGTGTGACCATGGGTGCCTTAGCATGCGTGTGAGTGAGCAAGGTGGTGAGAGTCTGGATCAGGGTTTTAACTGGCTGAGGGAAGGAGTGATGGGGATGGGGATGAGTGGAGAGAGGAGGTGTATATGATCGTGGGTTTCTGAGAGTGGTTGTGTGAATGGGCGGGGTGGAAGATGAGAGGGAAGGGTCATGGATAAGCATGTGTGTGTGTGTGTGTGTGAGAGAGAGACACACACACACACACACACACACAGAGAGAGAGAGAGAGAGAGAGAGAGAGAGAGAGAGAGGCAGGCTTGCTTCTTTTGGAGGCTAAAGTTGCCTCTGCTCTAACTGGCAGTCCTCCTCGAAGAGCCCACTTGAAGCTGACTTTTTGAGGGGATGCTTAGCTTCAAGGTGGCTCTGGTAACTGCTGCCAGGTCCCAGTTCAGGAACCAATAGAGGGCAGTCCTCCCACACGGAGGCCTCAAGAGGCAGCAAGGGGAGCCCTGAATGGCCAAACACCCTGAAAGGCTCAACTCCAAAACCTTCAAATATGACAGGCAGGGACAAAACGGATGGCTCCTCCAGCTACCTCTGGTCTCAGTCTCCGAGCCAGAGGCCCTGGGTAGATCATCTCGGTTGAGCTTAGGAGAGCAACTAGACCAGATAACCAATCTCCTCTCACTCCATCCTCTCCTGGGGAGGCTGAGTTCTAAACAGCCCTAAGTGGGCAGCTGTGACTGGGGATCAGTTAGTCCTATGGACATCAAGTCAAGTCCTAGGGTGAAGGGATGATTGCATAGGACCTAAGGCAGGCAACATATAAACTAGTGCAACCTTCTGGGCAGTAGGTGAGGGAGAATATAATGTCCTCATGCCTCAGGGCAGACTACCTTCTGGGTTTGCCTTGATGACCACAGGTGACTAAGATGACCATTTTCCTTCCCTTTGGTATTGGCCAACCTCCATTCTACAAAAGTTCTTCTAGCTCAAAGCGTTAGCAGTATGGCCTGGGTTTCCATTTCCCTCTCCTACCTCTGGGATTGGCTGTGGCTTTGCACACACAACAGCATACACACAAATTCTTACACCAACTTGCAGAGGTTCACATGGGGAGAGAGTTCTAACTACCAGAATCTGTGGTCACATCAACATAAACAATAATTTTGTTCAAGTGAGATGCAGAGGGAGATGGGATCAGAAAATTCCCAATATGCTAGGGAAAGCTTGAACTTCCTTGGAGGTCGATGCTAGGGACACATACCTCTCTTGAACAAAAGGAAGTCTGAGGCTCTCAGGCATAAGCAGGTAGATACACATACCCTTGGACAGAGACTGCATCAAGCCCACAGTTGGCTGTGCTTGTCCTAACTCTATTCTATCCAGGGAAAAATATTTCTCTTTCCTGTGAAGTACTGAGATTCCTACCATCTAGGGGCCTTCTGCGACCGAGGGGTTGATCACCGGGTAGCTATCCCACGCTGGTGTCTCATTAAGCCAAATCCTTGCAAAGTAAAAGATTTTCTTCCATCCCTTTTTCCACTTTTTTTTTTTTTTTTTTTTTTTTTTTCCATTTTTTTTTGTTCTACTCCTCAGCTGCTGCTGGTTCTTGGGAGCCTGCTTTGTTTTGCTGTTTTTGAGTTGACTTGCTTAAATAATAAACCCACCCTCTTGTAGAGGATTAAGCAGACAATTAGGAAATCAATCAATCAATTGGTGTCAGCTGCAGGCAGAGGCCGGTGAAAGGCCTCATCTTCCCGGTGGCCCTTTCCAACCTCAAAACCTGCTGAGGCTCTGGGCCGCGCGGGCGGCGGGAGCTCTCAGCTTCATTTCCTTCCATTTCAGAACCTTGAGGCTGGGACAAATCCAGGAATGGAGAAATGAGGGAGCAGGGAGGAGTGTGTGGCGTCTTCAAAGTTTTGTACTTGGTGGAGTAGGAAATGAGAGGCTGAGGCAGGGTGGTCAGTGGCTCCTGGCTGTGCCACTGCCCAGCTGGCCCGAACGTTCCCATCTTCCTCTTTAGGAAACATGGGAGGGAAGGCTACCTGGCCCACCAGTGTGGGGAACAGCTGAGACACAGGTGCCAATTACAGGGCTATTTGCTCACCTGGCTGGACTGAGGAGGGAAAGAAAAAAGGAGCAGGGAGTGAGGGGCTCGGCCTCTGGAAACCAAGGCAGCCTTTATACTTGCAGAGACAATTCGCCCAAGAGTGAGGGCTGAGCGAAGAAAGTCACCAGAACTCTCAGCATGGCACAGCCATCCCGAGGCCCCTGCTCCACCAGGGAGCACCAACTTGGGGCCCTGGGGACACCTCTCTGGACATCCCTGACGCTGTCAGCTGGAGCCCAGGCCTCTCACAGGCCTGGACTTAGGCCGCTTCCCTGGCAGGAGGGGCCCCCCACACCCCCTCACTGGGGTCAACTTTCTCCCCAGCTAAGAGATTGTGCCTTCAAGCTTTGACTTCACAAAGAGTGAGAAAAACTGCATGTGGCTTCTCCTGAGGGGAGAAAAGAACTGCCTCTACGGAGGAAGCAGGAAGAGCTCTTTTATCAGTATTTTTAAGAAGGGTTGCTTTAAAGGAGAAAATAAGATCTTGACTGGAACCCAGGTAGTCTGTGGCTCTGCACTGGGAACCAGATCTACCCCCAGATACCCTGACTCACTCCAGAAGACAGCATCTGAGAAGGTCTGTGCTCTCCTTCCCATCACTCCCTGCAGTGGTGGTGGTGGTGGTGGTGGTGAGGGTCTTGGGTACCCACCCTTGGAGAGGAGATATCAGGTCTTTCTGGTGGCACAGTTGCCCATGCCTCCGCTTCTTCCCAAGAGAAGCTGGGGCAGTGGTTTGTTTGCAGAGATGTAGGACTGGCTTTGTCCAAGCAAATTGGCAGGGCTCCCTCCCTAGGCTGACCCAGCTCACATAGGACCATGAAACCCACCTCTGTCTAAGCTGTTAGAACTCACAGTGTATCCAGGGGTGATTGGGTGGAGAGCCTGCTGGAGTAGGATGGTGGGGCCTGACTAGGCTTGCAGGTGCCCTAGGACTGGGAATGGTAAAATTGGCTCAGACCCCTCACATAGAGTGCAAAGTGAAATGAAAGTTGTGGGTTGAGGTGTCAGGTGGGGAATTATCGATTCTAGGCTGGTGACCCAGGCCGAGGCGGGCTTCTTTCTTGGCGGAGAAGAGCAGTCGAGTTATGCATGGGCGATGGCTCATCCGAATTCCATGTGGTGTCTTTCGCTCACTGTCCCAGGCCCTGGTTTGGTCTAGGAGAGTCTGTCTATGGCAGGGGGACCCGAGGCAGCTTCATCTTCCCTAAACTGATGCACCTGAGGCAGGGGCCCAACTGTTGCCCATGTCCTGATATCCATCTGGAAGGTCTGCAAGGTCATCTTCCTCCAAGATCTCTTAGTGAGATCAGAACTTTAGGGAGGTGAAGCAGGGGATCCCATCGCTTCACCCCAAAACCCACCCAGCCCTAGCAGTAAAGAGGACAGGACACAGCCCTGGGGTACATGTTTATGTGAGTAATAAAATATTTACTATAACATAAATATAAAGGGAACTTCCCAGTCTACATTATTTTTTTTTTGCAATAAAGATACAAAGAGAATGCACCGAAACATTGTTTCAAAAAATAATAAAAATAAAATAACAAAATTTAAATTCAAACCTTAACAAACAGAAGAAGAAATGGAGAAGGGGGAAGCTCCAAACACATCCAGAAAATAAATAGAGATGGGTCAGAAATTCGGAAATCATATTAAAATATCTTTTTCGGATTAGTCAGTATACAAAACCCTTTAGGGTAGGAAGGACGGGTAACCCGGAAAACTAAAAATAAAAACCAAGCACAAAATGTTTCTTCTCCCCGCCAGTGTGTACATATCTCACATATTTACATGGTTCCCACCTCACCCCAAACTTGGGGAATTTCTCTCCCGGCCTCCCCTGGCATCCCGCAATCCCGGCGGGCTGGAAAGGGAGCAGAGGGAAGCTGCAGGGAATCAGGCGGAGGGTTCTCAGGGAACGGCTTATTTCTACAGCTGGTTAAAAAAAATCTCTCTAACTTTTCCAAGTTTCGTTTGGTGTGGCCAGGAGGGCAGGGCCCCGCGGGGAGCAGGGGCCCCGCTGTGCGGCGGTCGGTCTGCAGCAGGGCAGAAGCCCCTTCCCATCTGGGTATGTGGGAGCGCAGACCCCTCCGGCGTGGCCGGGAACCAAGCTGGGGCTCGGATGAAACGAAACGAAAAATGAACACTCGAAATTTTTTTTGTTAGTTTTTTTTTTTTTTTTTTTTTGCTTTTTTTTTGTGGGGGAGGGTAGGGAAAGATAAGGGGAAAAATAAATTAGGCTAGATTAAAGCTTTGGCTATTTCCTGCTTTTATACACAGACGCGGCTCTCGCGACCTCCCCTCCGGGGCCCCGATAAATACAGTATACAGCGATTTAAATTAAGGGCGCGGGCGGAGTTAGAAGGACCCCAGGAGCCAAGAGGCTCCACGAATAAATAAAAACCGTAAAAAAACCAAGCCCGGAGAAAGGGGACAAGGGGGTGGGGCGCATCCTTATAGGAAAGAAGAGGTGTGTAGCGAATAAAGTGACAGCCCCCCACCCTGGACCCGCAGGCTCAGGAGTCCACGCGGGGAGAGGGGATGGAGAACTCTCCTCGCTTGGTCCTCTCTCCCGGGGAATCCCTAACCCCGCACCGCGTTACCTGTCGCTTTGGGGAGGCCGCTGCCGGGATCCGGCCCCGAACAGCCCGGGGGGCAGGGGCGGGGGTCGTCGAGGGGATGGGGGCAGAGAGCAGGCGGCGGGCAGGATGCCCGGGGTGAGTTGGCGAGTTCCGGATCTTCGCTCCTCTCTCCCGGGGCTCGGGCTACGCAGCCTACCGGGCCGTCTTCGCCGCTCACCGGAGAGGGTCGTCCGGGTGTTTGGTTTTGTTCGAAAGTTTCTGGGCTTTTTTTTTTTTTTTTTTTTTGTAAAATCCAAAGCAACCGAACAAAAAGAGTCCAGGCCGCGCGGGCGGGCTGCGCGCCCGCGCCCTGCAGCGCGCCGGCGGGGGCCCGGCCCGCGGGGTCACTGCACGGAGCCGGGCAGTGTGTGGTGGTGGTGGTGGTGCAACGCCGCCGGCGGGGGCGGCGGGGGCGCGGAGGGTGGCGATGCGCCGCCCCCGCCGGGCCCTAGCTCCCCAGGCGCGTATACATCGTCCATGGGCGGGTGGCCCGCGCCGGCCGCAGGGGTCATGCGCTTCTCCTTCTGCCGCCGGTTGCAGAACCAGACACGCACCACCTCCTTCTCCAGCTGCAGGCTGTCTGCCAAGCCTGTGATCTCGTGCGCCGAGGGCTTGGGGCACTTGAGAAAGTGGCTCTCGAGCGCGCCTTTGACCCCCACCTCGATGGACGTGCGCTTCTTGCGCTTGCGGCCCTGCGCCGCGATCTTGTCCAGGTTGGTGGGGCTGCCGCTGGACGAGTCGGTCTCCTCCAGCCACTTGTTGAGCAGCGGCTTGAGCTTGCACATGTTCTTGAAGCTCAGCTGCAGGGCCTCGAAGCGGCAGATGGTGGTCTGCGAGAACACGTTACCGTAGAGCGTGCCCAGCGCCAGCCCCACGTCGGCCTGCGTGAAGCCCAGCTTGATGCGCCGCTGCTTGAACTGCTTGGCGAACTGCTCCAGGTCGTCCGAGCTGGGAGCATCCTCGTCCGAGTGCTCGCCCACCGATGAGCCGCCGCCGCCCGCGCCCGGGTGCAGGTGCGCCGCCGCCGCGTGCAGGCCGCCCGCGTGTGCATGTCCGTGTGCGTGTCCGTGGGCGCCCAGATGCGGCGGCGGCGACGGCTCCAGCTGCGCCTCGTGGCCGTCCTCGTGCAGCGCGTGGTGCAGGCCCGGCCCAGCGCCGCCACCGCCCGCCGCCAGCATCCCGGCCAGGCCGCCGCCGCCGCCCCCCGGGTAGGCCGCCTGCGCGTACAGCCCGAGCGGCTGGGGCTGGTGGCCCCCGCCGGCCCCGGGCGACGGCGACATAGCCGGGCCCAAGTGGTGCGCCGTGCTGCCCTGCGCCCATGCCGCGCCCGCGTGGGCCGCCCCCTGGTGCACCAGGCGCGCGTGGAAACCTCCGCCACCGCCGCCGTCGTCGGCTCGGCCGGTGCCGCCGCCGCCCGCCTTGCCGTGTTCTAGGTGCGGGCCCCCGGCCCAGTCGCCGCCGCCGCCGCCTCCTCCCGTGGGTAGCCACTGGGGGTGCGCTAGGCCCACGGGGTGGCCCGCGCCCGCGCCCAGCCACTCGTGGTGCATCAGCTTCTGCACTTCGCGGTACGCGGCCCCTGCGTGCAGTCGCTCGGCGGCCGCAGCCGCCGCCGCTGCCGCCGCGGCGTCCGGGTGCATGAGCGGCCCGGTGCCCCCGGCTCCGCCACCGGGGCCCCGCGGCAGGTACTGCGCGGTGGTGGCCATGCCGCCCCGCGCCCTGCGCCGCGCCGCCGCCGCCGCTCCGCTCCGTCTGCGGGCCCCGCCGCCTCGCTCCGCCGGCTTAAAGACCCGACCCGCTCGGCGCTCCGGAGCCCCACCCCGCCCGCCGCCCATTGGCTGCCCGCGGAGCCGCCTCCCGCCTCCCCGGCCCGGCCCCCGCCCCCAGCGCCCGCCCGCCGCCCTGCCCGGCCGCCCAGAGCTCTCCATTGGGCGTCGCTCCCGGGGTCCCGCGCGCCGGCCGTGCTGATTGGCCGCTGGGGCTTCATTCACGGCCCCCCTACAGTCCGCGTACACACTCACGCCCCGGGGGCGCGGCCGCCACGTGGGGAGTGGCGCGGGGGTGGACCTCGGACCGCACCCCCTCTCGTCCTGGCTGTGTGGGCCCCGCTTTCCCCCAGCGCTGGAGACTCCGAGCCCGGCCGGTCCCACATTCCACGCGAGCTGAATTCTCGCCCGCATCCCGCCCGGGCAGCAGGAATTGCGGGCTCCGGGAGGCGCTCGGGCTCCGAGAAGCGGCTCAGCCCCGCGCCCCTCCCTCCGCAGTACCGCTGCCGGCGGACCAGGATTCCCGCGGGTCCTGGCGGCTGCGAGCGCGAGGCGGCGCGGATTCGCGGCTCGGTTCCGGCGTGACTGCTCACCGCGCCCGCCTTGCCTCCCGCGGCTGCCCCGTGCACTGGGCGCTCCTCGGCGCGTCTGCCCGGCCCGTCTCGGCTTTCCTTCTCCTCCCTCTAGTCCCAGCGTCACAACTCCGCCGACCTCCGCTGCCCTGAGAGCTCATCCAGCGCGGGCGGAGTCGGACAGACTCGGGCTTCACGCCTCGCGCGGGCACCTCTTCTCCCGGGCACTGCGGCCCAGGTGAGTACCGCGCGGGCAGCTGGGGCAGGGACGGCGGGCGGCAGCGGTTCTACAGTCCTATGCGAGCCCCTGGTACCCGGCCGCGCTCCGGGGTTCCAGAAGGAGAGGATCTGGAAGTGGAGACTGTGGCTCCGGGGAAAACGCTGCTGGCAAAGGCGCTAGCAGGGGGTGGACGTTGGGCCCAGGGGTATCTGACCTTCGCCGCTGCAGCCTTCTCGATCCTTCTCCCAGCTTGAACGGCTCATCGGCTGTGGTCGTGGTGGGATCACGCCCCGGGAGAGGAGAGGAGAAGGATGGGTTCAGGGAAGGACTGCGGGCACTCCAGAAATCCGGCGTGCAGGCCGGGAGCTGTCCAGCCTTGCGAAGAGCCCCGGGCTGGAGTTTGCCCGGACTTGCCTGGAGCTGCTGAAAAAGGAATTGAGATTGAGGAGGCCTTGTTGGAAAGGTGGGCAGTGGAATTCAGTTACCTCCTCACGCCCCAGCCCTTGATGACTCCCTGAAGGATCCTGAGTGGAGTTGGACCTCACTGCAGTTCCTCTGTGCCTTCTTACCCGACCAGGCTGAGAGGACTGAACTGTGTTCTCTCCTCTTCCCCACAGTGAGGCTTGGGTCCCAGGGAGTCTTCAGCTCTTAGTCCTCCCTCTTTTCTCTCCTGGATCTTGCCTCAAGTGGATATATAGCTTACAGGGCCCTGGGGTCCCAGATCACAGAACTGAGCTGGGGGCCCATCTAAGGCCCCACTGGGCAAGTCAGGTCTGTGGACTAAAGCCTTAGTGTGAAAAAAGGTGCTGGGGGCTCAGGTGGTAGCTGCCATTGGAATGATCCAGGGTTCTGGGGCAGAGTTGACAGTGACAGGGGTCACCCTGGGCACAGACTTTGATCATGTGGGCCCTGAATGCCCTAGGACCAGCCAGGGAAGGAGTGGGACAGAGCAGGGCCCTTGTCCGGCCATTGGCCACTGCCCTGAGCAGGCTCCGTGGTCCCATCCTAGCTGAAAGAGCTGCCATGGAGCTCTGTGTTTGAACCCGGCTAGAGATACTGGGCTTTCCTGGACTCTGGCCTAGGGAATGGTCACCTTGAGGCAGCCCAGGTCTTTCACCTTTCTCAGGCCCAGGAGGTAGGGGGAAGGCTGGTAATCCCTCAGTGAAGTTTCTGCTTGTGCCAGCGCTAACCAGGCCTGTGTGATATTGAAGCTTGGGCTTTCAACCTGGAGCTGCCATCATCTCCCTGGGCAGGAGTAACTCTGGTCCAGCCTGCCTCGCTCTTGGTTTTCCTTCCTGTATGTTGGGAATAACAGTACTATAGGCGGCCCACCTCTCTCACTAAGGTAGGCCAGATAGTAGTGTGAGACAAAGGGAGCGTAAAGCTCTCAGATAGATGTTTACTCTGGTCGTTTCCATTGTTGCTGTTCCGTGAGGGGCAAGGCATTCTCCCTCCCTAACTAAATCTCAGTTTCTCCACCTGTAGCATGGGATTGCAGAGGTTTGGACTAGTCGACCTCTCTGGCACTTCTCACTCTCATGGTCTGTGATTCTGTGAATCTGTCTTAGTTCCTGTTGGAGGAAGTCTGGACAGTGGGCAGGTGTTTCGATTTCCACTGAGGCTAGAAGAACAATGACCAACAGGCAAGGTGTTCTTTTTTTGTTTTTTGTTTTTTTAATTATACTTTAAGTTCTGGGGTACATGAACAGAATGTGCAGGTTTGTTACATAGATATACACACAGGCATGGTGTTTTAACAAGTACTTTTACATGTATCGTTTTACCTGTACCTCTCAGCCCTGTGAAAAAGCACTGAGATTATTATCTTCATTGCCTAGATGAGGGACCCAAGATTTGTCCAAGGGCACAGGACCTGTGAGTTTCCACTCATCATTCTTCCCATTACCATGGGATGGAGGCCTATGGAGGCAGCAACTTTGGCTGGCACAGCAAAGAGAGCCCACAGCCCTGTTTCTGGTAGTTCTCAAGCATAGGCCAGGGCCTGCTGGGGCTCCTGAAACCATCTTCCCAGGTCTGTGCTGAATTGAGAGGCATCAGCAGTAGAGCAGTAGCCAGGCTTCTAGGTTATCAGCTTGTCACCCAGCAAATCAAAGTCCCAATCCCACCACGCCCTTTAGCAGCCCTGTGACTTTGTGTGAGCCACATTGCCTCTTGGATCCTGAGTTTGTGCATCTTACAGTGAGAACAATAATGCCTGCTTTTCAGGATTGCTCTGAGGCTCCACAGATGAAATAAGGCATGCAATTTAGGTGCCCTTTAAATGTTAGATGCTGGCCTGGGGTGGGAAGAAGTTTGAAGTAGGAAAGATATAATTCCTTTCTCTGCTTTGGAAATTTTAGTCCTTCCACAAGAATATGGGTTTGGTCTTGAGTCAGAATTTTCTTGTGTTTGAGTTAAGTTTCCCCCAGGAAGTCTTGACATCGCTCTCAAGATTCTGTGTGGGACACTAGGGCTGAGACATGGCCACTGGTAGAAACATCTGCAGCTGAGCAACCCCTTTGTCCTGGAGCACCACCTTCTCAGGCCCTGGTGAGAACTCATCCTCAGACCCACAACATGTAGGCAGGGTGTACACAGAGAGGTCAGACACCCACCTGGCGCATGCAGACACAGAGTGGTTTGGGCATGAGAACAGGTGTGCGCACGCACACACACACAGATACAACCATGCAATTTAGCGCAGGACCGAATGTACAGATTTACAGTAGGAACACACAGACTTGCACCATTAGGCTGAATATTTGTAGTCACACAAAGCAACACCCAGTGGTAAATACAGGCATGTGTCTAAATGGGGAGATACACAGAACCCGCACATAGGCTGAAATAGGCTCAAGTAGGCACTGCTTTGCTGACACAGAGATACCTGAAACCTACAGGCTCTTGGGGCCACAAACGTGGAAACTCTCAGCTGGTGTGCCAAGTCACACACAGGGGCACACCGTCATACTCACACACATGAGCACGTGGAGCCAGCCATGCACACCCTCTCACCCAGATGCACAAAGAGGCTCACCCCACACATCACAGAGACATACAGATATATCTACCCCTACCCTGTAAGAAATAGCAGGTCCACTCAGGGGATCAGAAAGCAGAGGAAGGGGCTGCATCCAACCCAGAGTTTGGTCCACATGGTTTGGTTGCAGCGCTAGGTCCAAGGAAACAGGGAAGGCTTTTCTTTTCATATTTTTTCCCACTCTCCTTGTCTGTGGAGGGCAGCTCCCAGCCAGGCCGCCGCCAGTTTCAGAGGCTCCTGGGCCTCCCTCCCCAGCGGGGCCTCTGCCCAGCCCGCCCCCAGGCAGGAGCTGCTTGGGCTTTCCCAGAGCACAGCGGCCTCCTCCAGGCTGTGGAGTGTGACCGAGCGCCTGCTCATTTGACACAGGTCACCGAGCCTCCAGCAGATGGGGCCCTCGCTGTGGGGGGTCTCTGGGGCCGGGGGCTGTGGGGGGCTGGGAGTGGGAGGGAGGCTCTGCAGGGATGAAGGACAGGCTACACAAGCTCCAGCTCCTTATACTCTTTCTGCAAAGCCCTGGGTTACAGACGTGGGCCCTAGAATACAACTATACTCACGAGTCAGTCGCCATCAGCACCCTGGCGGCCACATACACAGGGCAGTATTCCAGACACACATCCCAGATGACCGGGGCCTGACAATGGCACGCCGAGCACAGCTTTGGGAAGGAGAAAGAGGAAGAGCCTTGCTCAGCGTCTCCTAGAGGCAGCTGGGTCTGGCAGCTTTCCCCCATTGGTCTCTGAGCCCCTGAGCTGTCTTCTGCGAGTTGGTCAGTTGGTTAGGAGTCCAGGATGGGCTGAGAGCAGATGCAGTTTCAGACCTCAGGCCTTTTCAATGCTAGGGGAAGACAGGCTCCAGGATGCTCCACCTGGATTCCTCACAAGTCAGGAATGCTGAGAAGATACAAAGAGGAGAGATGGGGCCCATGGGAAGTGCTGCTGGATGGGCTGTGTATCTCAGGATGCCTCCTGCATGCAGGGACTTTGAGATTTTGAGGCTGGCTGGACCGGTGCAGCACCCGCGAGCCACTTCCTTTCCCTCCTGGCAGTCTCCTTATGCCCTGGATCTTGCCTTTTCAGAGTGGTCTGACTTGGCAGTCAAGGGTCCTGGGTTTCATCTTGGCCCTGACTCAGGCCTCAATTTGGGCCAGTGTCA